TTTACTATGACATCAAACAAAAGTTTGAAAAAAACTCATGTAGGACAATTTTCAAACAATCCAATATCATTTGTTTTCTCAAAAGCATGTAGGCTCGTGTAACCATCACGCTTTAGTAGCTTGAGGCTAGATGGTAAATGCTCTTTATTATAGATCTCTCTTCAGCCGCTTAGTTTGATATTCACTGCACCGAGTGACTATTCCACCTCAAGCTCTTATAAAAAAATTTTGAAACTGGTAACATTTACCTCAAGCTCTTATAATTCAAAACAATTAATTATATTATCCACAGATATTTCACTTGCGTGTATGCAGCCTAGTTGTCAGAAAGAGAACACTATTGCCAAAGTGCATTCACTCAGCATGCGTATTATGTTAGCCCACTAGAGCAATTTTACATACTTCCATTGTGTGAAATGTCACTTCCAATAGTTCCGTGTGTCTTTAACCCTTGCTGCACCATTGTGTTTTTTACCTTCTACTCCCTCAAGGATTACTATAGCATCTAGAGACCCCACCCGCAAAAAGAACAAAAAATACGAAGACACTAAACCCTCCTTCGAGCTATCATCCTCAACACTTTCTCTTACTCTCTTAAACACCATTTTAACTTTATAGCTTATATCCAACTGCTCCAACAATGCAACCAATCAGTTTCTTGTATCATAAACACACGAAACTAACTCAAATCTCTCAATACAATCTCCATAGAGAAAGAATATCCAAATGGTAAAGAACCCTCCACCTTCAATCCTAACGTTGAGTGTTCGAGTTACACAATGTAGCAAATTGGAAAGAGCCACTATTTGGGCTTCTGCCAGGTAGAATCCCCTTCAGCATAAAATTACACTATCTATACACAGCTAAAATCATATTTTTATGAAACCATTTAGTAAACCCTCATACACACAAAAAAGATTCAGACTTCAATCGAATTTCAGCTAAATAAGCATACCCATATGAACTTTGGGGTTGTAAGGTTAAAGAAGAGAAAGGGGTTACCGGAGGAGGGGTCATTTTGGAGACTTCAAGATAGTGATCTTTAAGGGACCGGAGGATTATACTGTTCACGGCTGATGAAACACCCGACGACCGCCGGCAGGCTATTGTGCGCCATGGCTGATGTTGTTGCTGCAGTGCGCTTCCGGCGAATGCTAGAGCCTTTCGTAGCATTTTTCCCACACTCTCAATAAACTCTCAATAAACAGTTCTCTATTGCTCTGTTTTAGTGCTTTTTTTAAGTTAGGGATGGCAATGGGGAAACAGTGGGGCGGTAAGGATTTAACGGGTCGGGGCAGGGTAATATTTAAACGGGTCAGGGTCGGATAGGACGGATCAAAGCTTTTTAAAATTTAATAGGACATGGCAGGGGCCAGGGGGAGAGGTAGGTTGAAAATATATTGGTAACAAATAACAAATAATTATGACAATAAATTTCTATGGTATTTATGTTTCTTTCCCAATTTTTCTCGAGTTAATAACTTTGATGGTCAGTCAACTATCAACTTTTTTCACATAAAGTCACTCAACTTTCATTCTCAACTCAAAAATCACTCAATTATGACTTCTTTGCACTGAAAGTCACTCAACATATTTAATTATTTTTTTCACTAAAATTTTCTGACATGAAATTTTTATTTTTAACCAAAATTTTAAGAACCAAATATATATCCATTTAAATCATTTAATGATCCGACCCGCTAAATCATTAAAAAGTTGTCTTCTCTCTTAACCTATATTATAGATTCATAAATCCATTTATAGTATGTGTATTGCTTTCAGTTGAATATATATATATATAATATAGGTTAAGATTAGATTTTCTTCTAATTGCAGCGATTTGCACATATAAGTGATGATTGATGACTTTTTAATGACTTAGCGGGTCGGATTAAATGGGGTGGGTCATTAAATGGTTTAAATGAATATACATTTGATTTTTAAAATTTTGGTTAAAAATAAAAATTTCATATCAGAAAATTTTATTGAAAAAAATAATTAAATATGTTGAGTGACTTTCTGTGCAAAGAAGGCATAGTTGAGTGATTTTCTGTGAAAAAAATTGATAGTTGAGTGACCATCAAAATTATTAACTCAATTTTTCTCATACACCAAAATGAAATGATAGCCTTACTTTTGTTTTTTTTTTTTTCTTTCTCTATTGAGACTCTGTGAGTACGCATATGATGTGTTACAAAATAATTTTGTCCAAGTCAAGGAAACTTGAACAAATTAAATTAAAGCTACAACATATGACAAAAACATGGATTGCATTTCTTACCCTGTCACCATCTCAAAATAACAAATAATTATGACAATAAATATACCTATCATAGCTTTGCTTCATTAGTATTTATTCTCGACTTCTTGTAGTATAGTACCTTAATTTCAATTTGTTTGGCAGCTGATTAGATTTGATAGGGAGTTCAACAAAATTTTAGAAAAATATTTAAATTTTATAGTATTAAATTAAAGTTATATAAATTGTAGAATATTCTAAAATAAAATTTTATTTTGTGATAATAAATAAATTGTGTGAAAAGTTAAAATTAAAGAAGTATAAAAAAACATTTTTCAAAAAAGCTAAAAAGATGACATTTCCCACGATGTGGTGTGATTAGATAGTTGAGATTTACCGTGCAGTTTAATTAAAGTTTAAATTTGGATTTAAATTATGAAAATATATAATTTATTGATAGAAAGCGCTTTACTCCTTAGTGCGCCCATCCGGTGAGAAATTCGAATCAATTAAACATGTTAGTTTGATATATAGAAGCGAATTAACACAAATATAAAATTTGTGGGTTTTAAATTTGTAGTTAAATTTATACTCACACATTTTGGTATATATATATATATAACCGATTACTATAGCTTCACCCGTTGAAATAGCAATGGTTAAACAAGAACATGTCCCATTCACAATATAATTTGAAAATAGTATATTTTAACAATATAATTTCAAATAGTATATTTTGTTTAAAAATTTACATTATATGGATAAATAGTTTATTCAGAACCTAATAAATATAAATTATATTTTTAAAATTTAAAACTCTAGCTCCGCCTTTATTATTTTTAAATGTCCAAATAAATTTCAGGTAACTTTATCATACTTTCGTAGTATTATTTTAAATTAATAAATAAATAAAAGAAAAAAAAAACAAAAGCAATATTCGTGAGACAATGTGAAATTGACTTTTGCCTAAAATGAGAAAACGATGTTAATTGGGGGGCCATTTCCTAATAGAAAATGATGTAAACATTTAATGCATTATCAGTGAATTTTTATTTGTTCTTTTATCAATTAGTAATTACTACATTTAACAAAAAAAATATACATATAATAATTAAATGGTGGTATCTATGAAATTAATTGAGTTGATATAGCAGGTGTTATCTATTTCATAAAAGATGTCAAGGATCGATATATTTCCATGCAAATGCTTTTTTCAATCAAGCGTATCGTATCAGACTTGCCTAGTGCAATTTACATGATTACATTATTTACGAGCTATTATACATAAGCGAGTTTACTCGGTGGTCATACAAAAGTATATTCCACAGGGATCATAAAGTAAATGTGGAAATATATAAATTACATTATGGTAATCTTTTGATGTAATATTTTTTTCTCTACAATCACTAATAACTACCATAATAGGTAACTATGTATTTGTGCACATTTATCTCTATCTTCACTCTTAGCATAAAAGAAAAGAGAGTAGGTAATTAATGATCATCTAAAAGCAAACTTTCTATTTTATATACTTGAAAAATATCACATCAAGAATTTTTTTTTACTAATATATTTTATCCATCCACGTATTTTTGTAAAATCTAAAGAGATTGTTATTTTGTAAATAACTACTACAAAAAATTCTCAATACATGCATATTTATATTGCAATTTGCACATATATTCCACACATAAAATAAGTATTATTCTTTGACCAATTAATTTATCAACATAGACAAAATATACATAATCAATACATTTTGTTCATAAAAGTCTATACTCTATTGTATTTATATAAATTTAAAATTTAAAATTTAGTAATTATAACATATTAAAATTTTAAATATCGACTCTCCTCGCCACTATTAATAAACATCATTAAAACATGAACAACATACAAAAAAGAAAAACATGAATTTAAATAAAGATGGGTATTTAAAAACGAGTAGCATTTAATTTGAGATTGACTTGCTATGCATCAAGTGATGTCTCACTAAACCATGAACTCAAATTATTATTTTTTAAATACGATTGAATTTGGACGGTAGTCAGAGTTTAAGCTCCATGGTTTAGTGAGACATCACTTGATACAAAAATGAGTAGCATTTAATTTGAGTTCAATAGTTGATAGTATATAAAAAAAATTAAGATAGTAGTTCAATAGTATTTTTAATTGAACTGTTATGCTTTCTTCATTGCTTTCTTTTTTTTACTTGGGTTTGATTTTATTGTTTTTGCCATATGTATTGTTATTGCTTCTTTTGTCGACTCAAATTGTTTTTCTTATTTAACTAGTATGCTTTCTTCATAACTATGCCGAAGGCCTTTAGGAAACAACATCTCTACTTCCATGAGGTCTGTATATACTATGTCTTCCCCAAACCCCACTTAGTGAGATTTTCCTGGATATGTTCTTACTATTATTGAATGGCTTGCCCAACTATAATTTTGGCACATTTCAGTACTGCAGGAATATATGAATTAATTTGGACGGTAAAGCAATGTCACACCAAAGATATCCCAATACTTTTGAAGGCTATCTTTGATTATAAGTTTGTGTAATTTCAAGAAAAGGTACTTCCCTTGAATCGATTATGGAGTGATTTTTATTTAGTAAAATATTAATTTTAGGTATTAGCACTTTGATAATACATACTACCTCACAATGTATAGCTTTTTCTCTATTATTAATCTCAAGTCTTGATCAATTTACCTGTAGATTCATCAAAAGATATATTTAGAGACGCAAGCATTTCCCCTCCTATTATACATGTAGAAGTAGTACAGAAAGCAAAGTTGACTAAACAATATGGTGAACTACACCCTTCATCTCCCCTACAAATACAATACAATCATTCATGTCTTGTAAAAACTGTAAACAAAATTGTGACCTTTGATCGCTGTGCTAGTCGTTCTCTTGCCACTCGATATCTATCAACAAATCGAAGATCTTTGCTTAGTTTTCTCATTTCCTTTTGTGTTTGCTTCTATTAATTTTCACAATCTTCCGACCTGATTTGTCAGGACCACTGCTACCCAACGAGAAGCTCCCTCCACCGCCAAATTCTAGACTGTTTGATGCTGCAAATGGAGAAGAATTCTGAGGTGCTGCCTGGACTAGACTGCTCGATGCTGCAAATGGAGATGGATTCTGGGGAGCAGCCTGACTCTGCTGGCCGCCAAACTGGAAGGGATTTGGTGCTGAACCAAATGCAAAGCCACCTGGAGAAGGCGAGACAGAAGGTTGCCCAAAAGAAACTGCTGGTGCAGGAGCCTGCACAAGATCCTCGGCCATGCTGTCTTCCATGTTATCATTGTTTCCAGGGGATGCAACAAACACAGAATTACCAAACATGGGCTGTGAAGGTGAATTTGTGGAGGAAGTTGCACCAAATGAAAAAGGAGAACCGCTTGCCGCGCTGGGTGTTGATCCAAAGACTACCGGTGACGTGCTTGGAGTAGCAAAAGAAGATGAAGATGCTCCAAATGTAAACCCAGAGGGGGTAGAAGAACTAAATGAGGAAGTAAAGCCAGTAGACTTGGGGAGCTGCCAACTAGATCCAAAAGTTCCAGCAGTGCTAGAGGCTTGAGAAGTGGCCGAATTAGCACCAAAGTTGAATGGACTAGGATTAACTATGCTACCGGCATTTGTCAAAGAAGCTGAAGAACTAGCACCAAAACTGAAGATGCCAGGTGTAGCAATAGTGGAGGTGTTTCCGGCATTTGCAGGGGAAGTCGAAGAGCTACCACCAACATTAAATATGCCAGGAGTAGCTGAAGTATTGACTGCACTCGTAGAGGAAGATGAAGAATTACCACCAAAATTAAATATACTGGGGGTAGTGCTGCTGGAGATGGTAACAGCATTTGTTGAGGAAGCTGAAGAACTACCACTAAAGGTGAATATCCCAGGAGTAGCGCTGCTGGAGATAGAAGGTCCACTGGTTTTTGAAGGAGGAGCTGCAGAACTGGCACCAAAAGTAAATGTGGCAGTTCCATTTGTAGGTCCACTTGAACTGCCTGCTGCACTGGAAGCTGATGAACTAGCACCAAAAGTAAATATTCCGGAAGCAGCATTGCTGGAGCCAACTATGTCACTTTTTGAAGGAGAAGCAGAAACTTGGCCAATAGTACCAGGCACAGACCCAAACACTCCTGTGGATGGCAATGAAGCTGATGAACTGAAAGGAGCAGGCATGCTCCCTGAGAAAGCAGAAATGCCAGATCCACCAACAGAAGTCTGTGCACTAACAAGTGATTCACCTCCTGTACTAGAAACAGAACCCTGAGACTGTGTAGTACCTGTAGTAGCTGTGGCCATTACTGATGAACTAAAACCAAAAATACTATTTCCTGAGCCTGTAGCTGCAAAAGATGCACCCCCAAAAGGTGAACTCTTCAAGTTGCCTAAAGTAGGTCCAGTCTCAGATTTGGCTTTCACATCTGTAGTTTCTGCAGTGGAAGTTGTTGCTGGCGCTGAAACTGCTTTTGACGGAATCGTGGGGAAACCAAATTTGGTAGGAGGTTCCTTTGAAACTAATAATGCTGCACTGGAACCAAAGAGACTGCCAGCAGAGGCATTACAGCTACCTGCTGTGGCACCAATCATGCTCGAAACGCTTGTCAAAGGGACAACATTATTTGAGCTGCTAGTCGAAACTTCATTTGTAAAATTACCCGATGTCAAGGCAGAGGTGGCTGAGAATACAGGACTGGTAGCAAACAGTCCATTACTTGAAGTGCTAGATGGAGCACCAAATGAAAAAATACCACTTGTTGATACTGCTTCTAATTTGCCATTGCTGTCCACAGCCTTCTGTGAGCTTTTCCACTGAAAAGGATTAGGACGACCATCAGTTGGGCTGGACGCTAGACTGGACAGGCTGCAGACATTTGAACAAATATCAGATGCACTTTCAGGTAATCTTTAAAAGGGTGCACAAACACACAAGAACCCTACTCATTTCCTTATTCATCATACATATTTTCCAACTACTCTCTAACAGATAGTAAACATTTTGAAGTCTTTCGTCATCTTCTCTCTCTATAAACTCTAGGTGTGCAAAAGTACTTATTGTTTTGCTAATCACAAGAAAAGGATTCCTCTTAGGTTTCCTCTACCCACAACTACATCGGAAAACAAAACTGCTACTCTTACATGAATTGAGAGTGGATGAGTGATAATAAGAAAAATGTCATATTTAGAGATACATTTAGATTGGGTATGAGACCCGGGATATTATTTTTCAATTAAGTTTCAAAGACATATAAAAGATACCAGGCATGGCAAGGAACAAATTGTAAATGTCACCATGATACTCAATAATAGTTTTTCTTCGTCATTGGGCACAGCAAATTCAGGGTTCCAGAAGTTTGAAATAATCCCAAAATCACAATACAAACTCAAAAAACTGAGCATGTTTAATCACTTATAGTAAATTTGAACATATACAAGCTCAGATCTACCTTAGAACTCTTCAAAAGCTTACAAATCTGTAGAACATTTGATTGCGCATCGTTTTGGTTGACTACTGACTTTTGTCAGCCATGGCATTTTCACAGTTCTATTGAGAAATTAATTAACATACCATCTCTATTTAGGATAAAAAGTTAGTAGATTTAATTTAATTAAGAAAAGGGGAAAAGAGCAACCACTAGTTTCCCTAAATCAAGTGATAACATCAGCTAGGAAATGCATCACAAGGAAACAAGTGTCCCAAACCCATACATATTGAGAAGTACAAACAGCATTTCACTAAAAATAAGGTTGTCGAAGCAAGATATTTGCAACAAAAAGGACACAGATAGCTACGAACACCATCATCAGAACAAAGAACCTTTAAGAGCATCAGATGAAAAAATAATACGAGTCAATTGATCATACAGGAATATACTGTAGTAGGAACTAACCTGCTTACTGGCTTTGACCCTGTGACGGGGGTTGACGGTGAAAATAGGAATGGTGGAACCTTGTCAACATTTGTCTCCTTTGATTCGTTAGACGCAGTTGCTAGTAGGTTAGAGTTCAGTGATTGGGAACCTGCACTAGACAGGAATATGGTGTTCTTGACAGCGGATGTGCCAGTATCAGGAGTCTCCATATCAGATTTTTTGCCTAAAACCCCTGGAGGGGTCTTTGCTTCCAGCAAATCAGTAGGTTTGCTTGTGGGTTCAGCATATAGGGGCTTCTGGTCAGAAGCAGAAAGTTCCAGCTTCCCTCTCCCGTCAGCTAACTGAGCTGAAGGCCCATTAGAGTTTTTGTCCTCTTCTAGCTCAAAAGAATCCTATAAACACACCACAACAAAAACACGTCAAAAAGAATGTCTATCATCTCAATTGGTAATGACCAGAGATGATATCAACCTCAAAAGAACTGTAAAGAAGGTGACTAAGAACAAAATAGCAAACTACTCAGCAAATTGAATTCATATTGGCCAGTGAAGCAGCTGAAGTCACACAAAATATGCTAATATCAGAATAACCAGAGGTAACAACACTAACAAGTATAGTGCAGAATTAAGTACCTAACTAAATGGTCACATGGATCTCTACAATGGGAGGGAACTTTATCAACAGAAAAATATAATCATTCATACACAAAAGGCCTCTTTCTTTTTCAAAAAATATTAAAATACAGAAAGAAAGCTGTTCAACAGTATCCACAAAAAAAGGCACTACCAATGTCGATTCAAAACTTGTTATTGCAAGTCAAAGAATATAATGCACTTGAGACAAAGGATGCGCACCTCATATGCACTCATCTTAAAAGCTCGTTTCTTGTAAGGATGTTGAACTGCGGACTTATTCTTTTCCAGAGAATTGGTTTCAGAATTAGGTTGAGTATCTTTGAATGAAAAGATTGTATCCTTGTTTGCTATAGCAGTTGACTCGCTCGAATGTCCATTTTGTTTAATTTCACTTTGCTTTGATTCTCTGGGATTGGGAGAGAGAATTTTAGACCAATTCTCCAACTTATAGCTATCCTGTGCGCTCTGCAGCAGTTTGGGTGAATCCAAATCCTCCAAACTTCTAAGAGCTCGTCCGTGAAGCATGTTCTGTGTCAATTTATTCTCTTTCCCTGCAGCTAGTTTGGATTCTGATGATTTTCCCTTTGGAGTTATCTTTTCAAGTTGCTCCAATATCTTTGCAGCAGTCTCACTGGACTTAGGAGGGATGGCTACATGCCTTGCAGGCGTGATTTTGGCATTTTCGACATCTCCAACAACTTTTGATACCTCTGGATGCAGGTTAACTGCAGAAGCAACCCTTGCACTGGCACGTGAAGTTCCAAAAGATAGGGCATTAGGTTTCTGCCTAATCCTACGCATGGGACCAACAGATCCAAGCTCATCATCCAGGACATAACTCCTTCGTTTGAGGGCCTGAAAGAGTTAAAAATTAAATAAACAATTAAGGAACAGAAAGAAGTGAAAAGGATAAGCTCATTTGATAATAACACAGGTTCACAATGCAAATGAGTTCAGAATAATAACATAGTAATCTGTAATAAACACCTGCTTAGAACCAAAAAGTACATCGTGCTCGGACACTGGCTTAGATGATGAAGACCCACCGTAGACATAATTTCCTGAGCTGGTAGCCTGGAAAGTAGATCAATTTTAGAACAAAAGGTTTTCAGTGACACATAAAAGGATTTCCAACATCAAAGTAAACAGAACGCAAATAGACCTTCTGAACATCAGTTTGACGAACTCTAGAGTATGGCGTACGAGCCATGCTGTATATAGCAGATCTGCCATGAGATCTTGGAGTGGTAAACCCATTTTCTCGAATCCCGAGAAAACCAGCAGTCCTGGTCGTCACTGATGGAATGGGTGATCTTTGGAGATATTGTACATTTGTTAGCAGTGGTGTATCTTCTCTCACAACTTGACTTCGTGTGCTCAGCATTGACGGAGACACCTTTGATGGCCTACTCCCCATGTAGGCTTTTGCAAGCTCTGCAGGAGATGCAATATCATCTTCAAGAATCTGTAAGAAAGAACCATAAATATGTCAGGCTACCAAGAATTTATTTGATTCTTGCAAGGTCAACAGAATTGAGTATCCATAGAAAATAGTCAGAAAGGAACACTGGGGAAAATGATCTAACCCTGGAATTCATGACAGGAGTTGTGACATATCCACCGGGTGTAACCTTCAGAGACCTATTTACTTCCAGCAAGCTGCTGGAAGAATCCAATGCAGGTCTAGATTGGATGGCCACGCCTCTTTTCTCCTCTTCTCCCATAGGGATGTCAACAGCTTTCGAGTGCAAAAGTTCTGTCAAGTGATCAATCTCCGTTCTGCACAGAGAACATTTTATGTGTTGTAAATCATACCTACCTTAAAATCAAGCAACAGAAGATTCCACTAAAGAATATTTCCAAGTGCTTGAACCTATTACTTTCACTACTACCACTAACAAGTTTGTTTACCTCTTACTACTTCCAAAAAAAAATTAACTCGTTAAGATCAAGTAGAAAAGAAAGCTCAAACAGATAGTTCTGATATAGAATTGCTTAAAATGCCAAAAGTAAAAGAGCAGATACTTGAAAAAATGCCCCATCAAGAATCCCCATTTTCTATTTACAAGTACTATTATGAAATTGCACGTGAATGGTGTCACATCAAGAATAAGGTTATGTGGTGTTCCCCTTGTTTATAGAGACAACAAGAGAGAGAAAGAAGAAATTGGTGAAGGAATATTACCAACAGAAGCAGGTAGTTGTAACACTATGTTCTTGTTGAATACAGATTCAGTGATACTGACACCAACACAATGTGAAATAAATGCCTCCTAAAGTAATATGCAAGCTAAATGTAGAGGAAGTGTATGATCATGTGATTTGGGAGTTTTTGATTAACTTAATCAGAAATATGGATTTGGGACAGTATGGAGCATTTGGATTGGGAAATGCATATCAGCTGTGAAGCTTTCAGAGCTGGTGCATGGTGAATCAGTGGGTTTCTTTTCCTCCAGTAGGGGCTTGAGCCAAGGTGATCCATTATCTCTCTTCTAATTTAATTTATTAATGGAGTCTTAAGCAAAATATTAAAAGGTAGCTGTTGAAAGAAACTGGCTCAAGGGCTTCACTACAGGAGCTAGAGGCCAAGAGGAATTGTTATACATTTCTGACAATGACGACACCCCGGTCTTAGAGAGCAAGAAGAGCAGATAAGATTTTTTGGGTTAAGAGGGTGTTTGGATTGGCTTGTTTTAAGTAGCTTTTGGTTTTTAAGTTATTTTTTTGGAGGTATTTGGGAAAGAACCCAAAAAAAGCACTTTTTTTAGTCTATAAAGTACAAAAATAAGCTAAAAGCCAAAAGTCGGTTACCCCCAAAGTTATGACTTTTAGCTTTTAGCTTATAAACTACTTTCGAAAACACACCCTAATTCTGCTGGTTTTCAAAGGGATAACTATTCTTTATCAGAAAGTCACTTATTCCTGGTCGATGAAGGAGATAACATACTAAGACTGGAAGATATATTAGGATGCAAGGTAGAAACAATATGTGGGCATGCCATAGGGGGGTAGCTTCAAAGGTGAAAGCATAGAGGTGTAAATGTGAACAGGAACTAGCAAATTGGAAAAGACAATACTTGTCATTGGGAGGTCAATTGGTGATTATCAGTGTTCTTAAATCCATTGTTTTGTCACTCAAAGCGACACAAAGTGAGAGACGTCATCACTTCATAGGCAATAAAGCACAAGCAGTATGAATGAGAAATACTTGATTGTTTGAATCTCAACTTTGATGAGTTTGATTAACATTGACATTATTGTATATTAGATGTTGAAATTAGTTTCTTATTAAAATTTGATTATTATTATTATTATTATTATTATTGTTGTTGTTGATACAAAGTCATAGGTATGGTACTGCAAATTTTCCGAAATTGTTCAATTATTTTAAAAAAGCTTGAGCTTCAATTATTAAGGTTGAAGGCTAGTAGGACTAGCGTGTTGTCTCTCCTTGCAAGGGTAGGGGTTGTTAGCGTGTGTGGTAGTCCTAGTCTTGCACTTGCAGTTCTTGTCTGTGATATCGATTGCCTTTTGTTGTTTATTGCGTTTCACTTCTCTCATTGTTTATTGATGTCATTGTCTTCCTTTGTTGATTGTATATTATCTTTCGTATTTGATGGTATGTATATACACCGTCTTTCTCGCCTTTTACTTGGATTTTGATGTACCTGAGCTGAGGGTCTTCCGGAAACAGCCTCTCTACCTCGCACGAGGTAGTGGCAAGGTCTGCGTACACTCTACCCTCCCCAGACCCCACCTAGTGGGATTTCACTGGGTATGTTGTTGTTGTTTGAGCTTCATTTCTCACTTTCCACTTCAAGGTCCAAGGACTTAATGGCTTGGCATGTCTGAGCATTTCTCTTCTTAAAACATTGGTGCTCACAAACTCATTACTGGATGCATTGCCAACATATATGATGTCCATATTCCCACTTCATGAAGAGGTAGCAAAAAGTATAGAGAAAGGAATTTTCATGGTCAGTACTGGATGCATTGCCAACATATATTATGTACATATTCCCACTTCATGAAGAGGTAGCAAAAAGTATAGAGAAAGGAATTTTCATGGTCAGACAACAACGAGAAGAAAACATACAATTTGATAAACAGACACCCACCAGATCAGTCAAAGAAAGGATAGGTTGGGATCCATCCCTGTGTTGACCATGCTTCATAAACTGATTTCTCTTGCGGTAGATCCAGGCCATAGATGTGTGGAAAAAGATCTTTCAAACAAGAAGTAGCAAGACATTTATCCTCCCAGAAAGACGTTCAGCTGCCATTACCTACCTTGATAGAGGTGTGAGCCTTCATCAGCGGCCAAAGTATTCTTATGGATCTCCATAAGCTCATTCCATAAGAGGATTTTACTTCCTTTGTTATCCACTTGTTATCCTCACCATATTTAGCTCTTATAATGTCAACCTAGTAAGCTTGAGGTTCCTGAGAATATCTCCACAACCATTTAATTTGTGTGCTTTACTCTGCCATTTCAAATTCCTGATGCCTAGCCCACCCCGTTTCTTCCCATGCATCATATTGCACCATTTGACTAAATGGAACCTTTTTTCCTCATTGTTTCCATTCCATCAAAAATCCCTCCTAATCTTATTAATCCTCTGTATAACTCCATTTGGAAAGGTATACAAAGTCATCATATATATTGGCAAAGCATCAAGCACTGAACTGATAAGAGTGGCCCTGCCCCCCAAAAGATAAGTATCGAGCCTTCCACCCAGTCAGTTTCTTTTCACACTTCTCAATTATTGAATCCTAAATTAGATTCCTTTAGAATTTTATTTGGCTCCCAAAGGCATTCCTAGGTATGTAGTTGGCAGTGTACTGTACCTACACCTCCTCCCAGACATGAGACAAAAGCTCCATATTAGCCAGTGTTAATAGGATACAAATGACTCTTTCTCCAGTTGATGTGTAGCCTTGACATGCCCTCAAATAGAATCAAAATAGGCCCAAGTACTCTGAGTTGACTCATCTCCGCATCACAGAAAATTAGTGTATCATCAACATATTGGAGGCATGTGACTTCCCTGCTAGACTCTGAATTATTGGTCATTTGGAATCCTAAGCCTTCCGAATGCTTCAACAATTTTGATCATGTTATTCAGTACTTCCAAGGGGACAAGGGTCACCAAGGCTTAAACCTCTCTGTGCTGAGAAAAAGGCTTCATGTCCTCCATTTATCAAGACTTAGAATTCGATCGCTGAGATACAATAACCAACCCATTTGATCCATTTCTCCCCAAAACCGATACATGCTAAAACCTTGGATAATTTTTATTAAAATACAAATTTATGTTGAATTTAATTTTTTCTATAACTACATTTGTTACCCGTAATGATTTTATTGGTATAAAACTTAATCCCTTTTTTATTTGGTCGTATATTTATAATGTTTAATTATGGATAAATTATGCACATTCAGATGTTAAATAGTCCCAATCATTCAATGTTCAGATCCATAAACCACATCCTGATCATTCGGATACAGACGTCTTAATCTTAATGAGAACAAATGAGACCTAACAGATACCAAGGAAAATTATTTGGAAAAAAAATGCACCACACAAAGTGAGACGCTCCAAATGGCTAGTAGCTCATTAAGCATGTCTAACACAGCATAATTTACAGAGAAGAATGATAAGATGTGACAATTGTGGGCTTTGTGAAGTGCATGAGGATACACGTCATGTATTCATAAACTGGAATGACAAAGCAATTATGGGACACAATGCTGAACTTGCTGGAACTTCAGGGATAGATGCAAAGAGCTACCAAAGATTTGTTGCAATGGTGGTACAAGAAAATAAGAAAAATAAAAAAATGTGAACATCATCCTTGTAAGTTGTAACAATTTTTTTTGGGTTGGGAAGGGGAGGACCGAGGACCGTTGGGGTGATGTGGGAAGAGGACCAGAGAAGTTATGATGGAAAGAGGGAATTTTTCTCTATTCAGATTATTTTCTTTTAGTTTTTTGGAATAGGGAGGTAGATGTACATGACATAGATGGAATGATAGAATCTCTAAATTCAATGAACATGCTGTAGAAAACTGGTTTTTTGTTACTTTGTAATGCACAGGCCTGCTTCTACAGCAACCAGTTATCACATTTTTTCCAGTAAGGAATTATCATAAAGTTCTTTTTTAGGCACCCAATCAATTACCACAAATCTTACCTTGTAAATGTCTTCTGCTTCAAGAGCTGCTCAAGCACTGAGAATGCGCCATCCCCAGAGCTGCATGCATCATTATCACCTCCTTGTCCTGCCACCACCAGTGCTCCAGCATACTCCTTCATAGAGAGGAAGAATTTTTCCACATAGAGGCCACTTTTTATCAGCATTAACCATATATATACATTTAAGGTAGCAAATATTTTCTTAATAGCAGTGCTCTTAGAAGTAAAAAGCGCAAGGTGTGACAAGATTCATGGGGCAAGAGGTGAAAAGTGAAACACATAATTTACAAAAAAATACTAATAAACATCTTTGAGTTTAGTACTACAGAAATCAACTTGTAACTAAAATAACTAATTTCAGTATTCCATACACAGTAACACCGATATTAATCCAACTTGTTTAGATTGAGATCCAAAAGATCATCAGCATTTTTTTGTGTTATCACTTTGCACGTCATTGTCTGAAGCACAGATTTCTCCGAGGGGCATGGTTTCACCCTTGAAGCAATAACTCCTAGCTTCACATTGCTTTTAAGGGGTGACTTTTGATAACACTACTTAACAGATAAATTATGGAACTCCTTTGGTTACAGGATCAACAAAAGAAAAGATGACAGTCGGCATAGAAGGAATACGAAAGTTGCCATGTATGGGAAGACAGATTATCCACATAATCAAAAATTAGTAAATCAGCACATTCCTCCTACAAGATTTGCATGGTGTGTTATCAGCTTTCATCAGGACTTTGAAGTGAAACATACATTTCTTAATAGATTATGATACTAGCAGCAAAAAATAATACACAAGATGCAATGTCTTGGAAGACATATAATCATCTAATGAACTAAGATCTGGTTATAAAGGCATCATACCATTGCGAACAAAGTTCAAGTATAATAAACTTACATTGGGACATGACTCCGGAGGCAGATTCTGTGACTCCTGGCTTGGTCCTGTTTATAACAAAAATAAAACATGCCTCAACGAAAGCCATTGCTGAAAGCAGAAAAGAAAGAAAATGCTACTAGTACACCATTGGCAGATCAATTCCTTTTCAATAATACCAATCAATCAACTGCGCCTTAATTCCAATCTAATTGGTGAGTTGGTGTCAAACAAAGGGTAGCATTCTAACAGATATTATTGCTACTTACAACCAAAGAACTGAATAGCCAGTGGGTTTATCGGCTGACAACACTGATCAGACGGAAGGAGATAATGGAAACTAACCAAGATGGAATGTCTATCATATCAACAAAGTCAAAAAAACAGATAATTATATGAAAACAGTTCAATGCATTCTCAGTGACTATATAAGTTCAGGTAGAAACATGTCAGACTGTCTATTAAATTTGAACCCGTTGGGATATTCCAAAAAAGGAAAAAGAAGAACTCCACCCTCGTAACTATATAAGCTCGAGTAGCAAGTAGAACAATATTGTATATTAATAAGTCAAACCTCATAACAATATCAAACATGGTAAACACTCCATCTTGCTAACTATAAAAGCTCAAGTAGCGGCGCAAATCAGTAAGCAAATGCTTTGCTATAAACCTAAATGAACACAACTACTGGTTGCCCAAGTTTCAGGATCAGAAAAGGCAAAATTACCAACTTACAACTCTAGCTACATACCCAAAGAACCCAAATTTACAGCACCAAAACTTCAACAATGAAAAAGCAAGAGTTCTTTGCCCTCCTACACATAAATATATTCATCATTGAACAACCTACATGCACTCAGATCCAATCATCAAGAAAAAGCTCATCCTTTGTTCCTCCAACAAAAGCAAAACGAACCCTTTCCTCCAAAATACATCAAATATTCACACTACATAAGTCCAAAAATCGCATAACTACGTCTCACATCGAAAACAACACCAAAATTACTTCATTTCCTTGAGAAAAATGACAAATCTCACAACTTAATCAATAAATAGACGTTACAGAACTGAAAAAAACCTGGAGGTGGAGGTGGAGGTAATGGCGTGGGAGGAGGAGGAGGTGGAAGGCGTTTACTGAATATGGAGGAAAAGAAGCGGTGAGCACCGGAAGTTATGAGCTTTGACGCCGGATCAACCACAAGCTTTGTGAGCCAACTAGGGTTTCGGAGGGCCGTCGGTGGACGATCATACGGAGTCGTCTGGTTCCGTCGTAACGGTCTCTTCCTAAACTTCCCTCCGGCTCCTCCTCCTTCATATGCTCCCGCCGACGCTGACGCTGACGCCGCCGTCCCATCACCCGCCGTCGACATTTTACTGAAAGCTTCGAGAGAAACAGAGAAGAGAGAGAACACCGCACCAAGTACCAAAATTGAAGAGAGAGAAAGAGAGATGAAGAGAGGGAAATTAGGGTTTTATTTCGTTGGACAAACACAAAAGGCTATGCCCATTATTGTTTTGATAGAATAGTACCAAAAATATTATTCCTCTCATTTCTAAAAATAGTTACTCCATATTAAAATTTCAAAATTCAAAAATAAAATTAATTATTTTATTATTTTCATATAATTCAATTAAGAAAGACTTTATCTTAAAACATGTAAAAATAAAATTAAAAAAAAAACTCTCAATAAATGTTTCTTTAAGAGACATGTAAATAAAAATCCTGACAGATAATTTAAGTGAAATAAATTACATTCATCTTAATTTATAATTGATTATGTTTTAAATTAGATTATATCAAATGTATTGTATAAATTATAATTTTTCTTATATTAATTATGAAAAAATCAATTAAATTTACATAATATAAATCTCGAAAAATAAATGTGAAACGAAAAAAGTTGTACAAATCTTTGTGTGTTAGATACAACAACAATATGCCTAATATAATTGCATAAATGAGATTTGAAAAAAATAAATATCTACGAAGCTTATTCGCACTTCATAAAGACAAAAAAAATTATTTTCGATATACTCAGCTTAAAATAAAAATATGATGAGGAGCGTGAGTACATGTATAATTAATTATTATTGCTCCTATTTGACCGTTTCTTTTTTTTTTTTTTCGATTATTTGAACGTTGTTGATTTAGAAAAGTTGGCGGGCCAGTTTAGGGGACTAAATTATAGGCACCTGTGACTGTGACCTTAGTATTGCTCAGCTTATTATATGATAATTGTGATTAGTTTTTTTAGATTAGTGCAGTACTTGTCACAAAAGTACACTACACTTGCAAATTGTTGTACAATTTTTTCAGTCTTCAAAATGTTGACCGTTATACAACAATAACAACATATCGAAAGAAATCACGTAAATATAATGAATGAAATACATGTAGTATACACCTAACTTTAAAATATCAGTCTTAATCATAATAACTCATCGTTGTTGGTACCTCCAAAACGATATTGAAGGGAATTTTAAGATTCTTTAAATTCAAAATTTTGTTTCATGTTCTTACTATATTTGAGTTATAAAATCCAATTTTGGCCTTCAAATTCGGGGAAAAGATGAATTTTCTTCACATTGATAAACTTAAGGGAATTATTCAAGACGGATCTAAAATTTCTATAAATGGGTGCAACTACTAAAAGGGAAAAAAGTATTACGTGGGAATTGATCCATATTCCTTTTAAGTAAATAACATATCATTCAGTCAAGTGTCATAAGATAATACTAGATTCATTCTAAAAAAATATGTACATAAAATATTTGATTTGATGGAGAGACCATGACTGCATGTTCACAATAAATTAGTTTATAAATCCTCGCCCCCACCCACCCAATGAAGTTAACTTATATACATGTTCAGTTCAAGACTAATAATGTATAAGTGTGAATAAAAAAAAATAAAACAAAAAAGTGAGATACCAATCGTTTAATGTCTCCTCTTCACAAGAGACTCATTGGCAAGGAGAAGTATGTCTTATATCCTTGATACCGACACTAAAGTGTCCAGTATTTAAGGTGATGTGCTTTAACATGTTTTGAACCTCGCTTCAGTTAAGCACGCCCTTGACAAGTGACAACAATGTGCTCTAAGAAACACATTTAGGTCTGATTCAAACTCAAAACACTCCAAAATTACCTAAACCAGAGAGTAGAAACTTAACTCAAAGGAGAACATTGAAGAAAAATCTCATTCCAAAGAATTGAATACTGTAAGCAGAATAGCTGTTTTTGGCTCACAGTTGAAGGAACAATGAATGACATTATGTAACAGTGAATAACTCAGAAGTTGAGAAGGAAAGAGTGATGAACTGATTACAACAGAGAAATCAAAGAACCCCTACACAGTTGGCTAAAACAGAAACCTAACATTAGCAAACATCAAAATGTAGTTGTGTGAGCGTGTGGCCAAGCAATGGACTCCGATGAAAGAGAGTATAAGTGAAAGGATTTGTATGGTGATTTCGACATTGGAATGTCCTAGAAGAATGAAAAGATTGTTCATACCACAATCAACAATGAAAATAGAGTAACAAAACCCAGACATAGAAGTCGAAAGAAACATACAAAATATGTTAACAGAAGCAAATGATCCCCATAGAGATTGACCCAAGGGAAGTAGGAAGAAAATGATGAACCACAGAAAGCAACAATTTAACCTTATTCGAGAACCCAAAAGAAGCCCACCAAGGAAAAGAGAAGAAGATATGGGAAAATTAACTGAAAAGGGAACACACGTCCAACACATTGGGAGCAAGAATAGAAACAGGGTGGAAAGCATGTAGAGAGATGAACAAACGCTCTTTGAAAGAACAAAGAAAGTAAGGGAAAAGTTAATCTACCTGTAGCGATATCCAATTTACACAAACAGGTCTGCGAAAACAATTGAAAGAAAGCAAACAAACCAAACTAAAAAGAAAATAAAGAGCAAGTGCAAATAGACTTTCAGATGCCAAATGAAGATTCTGAATCGATAATCTCTAAAACGAAATATCAGATATTTAGCTGTTCATCAAGAACAGAGTAAACTAAGTAGAACACCGAAATTCACATACAAATAGAAAAAAACGTGTAGAGATTAGCGAACAAATTATCATAATCTACAAAAAACTCAAACAGTACGTTTCTTCCAAAAAGAAAAGAGCTTTCAGTAGGAAACAAAAATCCAAAAACGTCAAATTCAACTCTCCAGAAATACCAGAATTGAGTTGTTTAGGGCATACTGTCAAGCACCTCGGGCTGCATCAAAGCTCTTGTCTGTTTATTCACTATTTTTTATCTAGACGGAATCCCAAATGTGCCCAAAGCGTGTTTACACTTATGCAGGAAATTTTCAACCATGCATGTGCTAATAAAAATCTCAATTGCAACAACATGCTGAAAACTCACATCTCCGTGTTTCAGTTTGTGAAAGCTCAAGGCATGTCAATTACTTTATAAATGATCTCACTCCACGGAAACGGCATCCAGCAATCTTTTACCTTCATCAGTCAGCTCTATGTTTTCCATTTTAATACGCCGACGCATGATAGGACTTGTTTTTTCAGAAGCTGTATAAGTTCGTAACAAAGATTCAAATATGTCAACCCCCAACTCATCCTTAGCCTTCTTCAAAATTTCCACAAAGTGTTCTGCACCAGCGACATCTTTATTTTGTTCAAAATGACTCATGAATTTTGTTATGATGGCAGATGATGGAAACCACTTGCTACCATCACCCCTTCCAATTGAAACTGCTTTGTCAACACAATCAATTGCTGATTTGATATCCCCATTTTGCAGATAATAGTCCATGAAGATCTCCCATGTCTTAGCATTGGGCTTAGCTCCACTCCTTCGTGCCCGTTCCTTGAGCTGTTCAGCTTTCTCCAGGGAACTTTGTTTCGTGTAAACTCCTATAAGAACATTTGCTATACGTATGTCATAAGTTGGGCATCCAGACTCCCATTCCTTGAAACATTTCTCAGCACCCGGTATGTCATTCAAGTTAACTAAAACTTGGATCATGTTAAGATAGCTTATGTTTGCTGTTCTGGGAAAAGCAAGCCTCAAAGAACGCCATACCCGATATACTTCAAGCAAATTTCCAACACGACCATACAATGTGATCAGAAACTGATAAGCAGTAATATTGCGGCATGCATTTTTCTTCTCCAGTTCCTTGAGTGCCTTCACTGCTTTATCAGTTAAGCCAGCATCTGCATAGATCGATGCCAAATTACTATAAGTAGTCCAATCTTCAGCAACACGGCCATCCCTCTTCATTTCATCAATAACCCTCTCAACCCCAGAAATATCATTCACAGAAGAAAGAGCCCTCATCCAGACGTTGTAGGTATAACAATCTGGCATAACATCATTGGCCTTCATTTCTTGGATAATGGCGGGGATTTTTTCTGGGTGCCCAGTTTTTGTGTAAAGAGTCATCAAGCTGTTGTAAGGCATGGAGCTTAAACTTAAGTTAAGTTCTTTCACTTTCTCCATCAAAGCCTCAGCTTTTTCAGTCATTAATTCTTTGCAGTAGCAGTTCAGAAGGGCACAATAAGTAAGAAGATCTTTCGATGTCTCTGGGAGATTCAAAAAATAGCTCTCTCCTGCTTCAATCCCTTTACTCTTGGCAACAATATCTATATGTATAGCTTGATCACTAACGGTCTTGTTCATGCCCCTTTTTTCCATTGTTTCTGATAACTGCACATAGCAACTAGCAAATTAAAACATTTCATTTCGCTAAAAGAAAACCAAGAAACCATAAAAATTTGCTTACAAGTCACACCTTATAGTGCTAAGTAAATAACAGTTCTACTTCAAATTCTATGTTGGCGTTCAAAGATCTAAGAGATAAAATGAACCCACTTTTGGGTTTCATAGATAGTGGTTTACAGGCACTGCATTAATGTAGCATCCCTTAAGCAGCTATTCACCTTTTTGTACAAAGCCGCCACCAAAAACTTACATAAGAATTAAGTAAAAATCCAGCAGTCCTTCCCTTGCTGATTCAAAATATTCTTTAAACTTGAAAAGGAAAATAAGCCATCAAAACCATAGCAAGGAGAAATCTTTTGCCATAAAAGTTGTTCAACATGACTGGAAGCATGCAGGAGAACAGCCAAACATTAATCTAATCAAAAGGGAATATTGCTAAAAGGCAAGAACCACCCTTTGAATTTCCAACATCAAGCTAAGCTAGAATATGCATGAGACCACCAACATCAAGGTAAGCTTCAGGCGGATTTAGGATTCCTATAACATCAGTGCACCACGAAAGAAAGAGATAAAAAGAAGTATCAAGTCGAAATTGATCCTACTCGTTTAGGTAAATAACTTAGTTGTCAAACCAAGTGCACAATTTAGCTTTTTGGAGCATGGGTGCTAGCACAGATAATATTAATCAATTCTAGCAAATATGTATATAAAATATCCAATTTGGCGGAGAGACCATGACAAGCAATTCAGGGGAGATGATCTCCTTCCCTGAGAAGCAAATTCGAAACCCAAACT